AAAAAAAAACAATATTAGCCTATCTTTTAGCTAATTAATCTAAAACAAGCTTGTAGACACCGGCTAATCTGAGCTGTAATCCCAAAGATTAGAACTCCTCTCCTCTACAGACAACACAGTTTGAACCTGCAGACGTTTTAATGCGATTGCCTTTAGCTGCATATCTGTACATGCAGCAAATTCTGGATGAGTCGCCGCTAACAACGTCTGCTGATCGCTAGCATGTTAGGCTAACACCGTTTCTACCTGTTGGAAGGTTTGCAATTACCTTAAGTTTTAGCTGTTTCTGGACATATTTTTAGTATTTTGGGACAAATAATTGCAAAATAAAAAATTTGCTAATCTAAAAAAATTTCAATGCAACTACCATGTTTGCCAAATTTAAACCAGACATCGTCAACATGTCCTGTGTGGCAAAAGACAAAAAAATAAAATAAAAACTACATGTTCAACACAAATGCAATAAAAAGCCTCAGACGAGAATCGTGACGGGGCAGATATTGTTCAAAGTAAAATGTATCGATATTTCTTTAATAACAACAAACCCCTGTTCTGAAACACGATGACATTTTTATAACTCCTAACGTTACATCAGCAGCAGCTAAAGGTCTGCTGGTCCCGTATTAAACGCCCACTCGTTGATTGAAAACAGACAACTGCAGTCCCCTCCGTCGGCTCACGTCGTGTGTGTATCGATTCTGCTAATGCGCTGTGTTCTGCAGTGCCAGTTGAGCCACAGTACAACTGCAGCGTCTGCTGCTGTCACTTGATCCGATCTGGACGCCGGTCCGACACCTCGGCTTCTCCCGAAACCACTTTACGGACCTGAGCTCTGACACAATTCAATTACCACTGCAGAGGAGCTTTTAAAGTCTGCAGCGACTCCACTCCAACACCGGTCCAGACCAAAGGTTTCAACAGCATTGACAAACAACAGTGTGTCAGTGTGAGTGTGTGTGGGTGTGTGTGTGTGGGGGGGTCAACAGGACTGGAAACTGTCATAACTACGTTTTTCTGTACAATTTTTTGGCCTTAAAAAAATTATAGCCTTTAACCTTTTTATCTCACATCAACGGTATTATAGATGTTTGGGGTCAGAGATTTTAACCTTTTTATCTCACATCAACGGTGGATTTACTGATCCAAAGATTCAATTTGTACTGGTTATGGCGTATCGTTGTGACGTTAAAGCATTTAGTGCAGGTATTGCATTCAATATTATTGTTATGCACTTTTTTGCTCTACATATATGTATATACAATAACATGGATTATAATCTAGATTAATACTGGCTTGAAACTGGAGTCATTCGGTCGAGGTGAAGCTCAGACTGCTGCAGCTCTCACATGAACCGGAACAGACAACAACCGTCGAGGACAGAAAACTGAGAAAGGTTTGGAAATCTTTTGTATTTTAATTTTCTTCCAGAAGGGGGAGCTAGGAGTACTTCAACTCTAAAGTATTGGGGGGTTTTTTTAGATAAAATTACGCTGTAAAAAATGCATAACAATGTGACTAATTGCAATCACTGCCCAGCAGGTGTCACTACAGAGCAAATGAAAAACAAAACTCAAAACTCTTTCATCACATTGGGATCAAAGTGCAGCCTACTTGAGTGACAGCTCGGTGGTTCCAGTTCTTCCCGTCACGTTCCCGTCGCATGCATGAACACAGGCAGAAGAGGAGGAGGAGGGTGGGGTGGATTTGGGTGGAGGTGTCATGCAAACAGAACAGAAGAAGCATGAAAACAATAATAATGAGCACCTGGGTCAGTGGCAGGCGGTGAAAAACAGGAGCGTCAATTTTGGACATTTTTTCTTTTTAAATTAGATGGAAAATTTACACAATTTTTTTTTTGGTCGGGAGTAAAAATCACTGACATTAGAACTGACTCTCAGGATAATAATAATTATTTTAAAGTAGCAAAAGTTCATTTGATTTTTTCCTCCTTCCTTTTTCTACTTTTAACTTTTTCCTTCAGTTCCAAGCTGCAGGAGGGTTCAACCTCCGGTCTGCGGCCCGGCTTGGGTCAGAGCTGCCTGTCCAGGACTGACAGTGTGACTGACACTACAGTCAGATGGACTGTTCTGGACTGTTGTTGAGGCCTGAACGACTGGACTGAAGTTCAGAAACAAACTCTCCACGTGATACAACGTCAACAACAGAACAAGAACTGAAGTCATGACTGAAATACGGCAACTCTGAGAAGCTAAATTTGAAGTTATTTAATT